GCTCCATTGACTCCTATATACACTATGTTGCATGCAACATTTTGCTTGCAACAAATGTTGCATAGTGTATGTTGGGCTTTATACAGTAGTTAACTATTTAATTATATTTATACTATCTATTTTATCCTTCCCCACACTCACACACACACACACACACACACACACACACACACACACACACACACACACACACACACACACACACACACACACACACACACACACACACACACACACACACTCAGTTCTATGTATCATCAGATCCTAAAGATTATCAAAAAGAATATGAAGATAGTTTGATGTACAAATATGTTGACTTTCATGTCAACTCAATACTACTGAAGATTACACTACCTTTGGCTCCTGGACCTGAAGCCACACCCACTACAACAAACGTTACTAAAAGGGGAACAATAATAAAATTTGTATCAATAAATGAAGAAAATAAAGAAAAAGAAAGAAGTAATTATAACTTGTATTATAATAAAAAGATAATGTTATATTATTCAATACAGAGATACAGGTACAAGTTGATAAGAGAATAACATTAGCTCAATTGAAGGAGGAGCTAGTTCCACTGATTGGTGTACCACCTACTGGTTTTATAGTGTTTGAAATCAGTGGTAAGGGAGACTATGAAATGGAGGAACTGGATGAGACATTAAAGTATATTCATGGATCAGAGGTATAGTTTATTGTGTTATTTGATTCACTTCTCCTTTCCATTATATACTATTATAAGTACTAATAACACACACACACTCATCTCTTTATTACTTTGTGTATCTACTAGTTGATAGTAAGACTGGGTAGAGCAGTATTACAAGAAGGAGAGAAAAGAATTAAATTATATTTATTACAAGTTAATAATACAGAGGTATAGAATATTAATTATTATAATTAATTTATATTTTATTTAATTTTAGTTTAGTAATTTTATGATGGAGTCTATTGTTACCAAGGATACACCAGTGAGAGAATTTAAGAAACAAATTATTGAAGAAGCAAAAGTACAAGGAATTGACTATATCCTTGAATTAGACAAGTAAGTACATCGTGTGACTATCATGTGACTCATTGTGTAGAATGAGATTGCGTGACAAGAATGGAGTGTACCCTGGTACAGTAATTGTTGATCATGAGTTGATTGATGCTAGTAGGGAAATGTATGTGGAACCATTAAAAGGTCAGTATATTGTGCTGTACTATTTATGATGCAAGTTTAATGTTAGTACATGTGTATATTAATTATATTGTATCAGGACCAGAGAAGAAGAGGCATTATGGACAGACACAGGTGTATGTTATAAGATGGCGTCCATCACAATGTTCAGTTGATCCAATAGAAGAAATTATACTGGATAATAATGATCCTAATCATGTTAGTAGAAAGGTACGTGTTATTTTTGAAATAATCATATAATTGAATAATACAGAACATATATCAGTATCATTTATTTTATTCCTTTATAGCTGTCAGAGTTAAGTGGAGTATTTTCTGCTAGGTTCATGTATATCTATTATACAAAGGTTAGTCATTAAAACATATTAAAGATACTCTCTCTCTCTCTCTCTCTCTCTGACTATAGAGTCAATCATTTCCAGTTGAGATATCATGTCTAGATTTTGAGAATAGGTTTAAATGGCTCCCCATCAGTACATACTTATACTCATTTGGATTATATTTTAATGATGGAGATGTCATATATTACACGTACTAATGAACACACACACATTATGTATACACACACACTTACATACACCTCTTACTGTTTATAATTATTTAGAAACATTAGAGAGAGAATGAAAGAGTTAACAGATAAAGAGAGATCAGAAATACAAGAGGCAGAGGAAGCAAGGTCAGTAAACCTCATGTATCATCATGTACATGTACTATCAGTTAATTAAATACCTCATCACTTTACCATTTATTATATTGTAGGTTGAAGAGGATTAGGGAATACAAGTCACAGCATGGACTTATCAGAAAAACATTTGCCCGAATGTATTGGTTGAATTTCTAAGTGTCATTTTAATTTTTATTTTTGTAATTGCAATGCTGCAATCCTGCAAACAGTTACTCGCTATGTAATAATTTTTAAATGATTTTATAATTAGACTTTTATTTAATTTTGTTTAGTTTCACTAGTTAGTAGTTCTTCATTAACTCCATTTGTTGATAGTCCCCACAGTGAGTTAGCTATATCCACATGATCACATTTACTAATATCAAATGAAAAGGACTCAATCTCTCCATCATCTCTCCTCATAACTGGCAACCATTTGGAGTTAGAGAATAATAATAATAAATATTGATAATAAAATAAGTACATGTACAATATGCCAATGTAATCATATCATAGCTCAATATGTAATACTGTATAGTGTGGATCTACTTTAGTGAGGCATATGGTTTACATGTATTATATGCAACAGTAAAATTAGGGATTTTATTTTGGCTCTGAAAACACTCCAATGTTTTAATGATACATATTGATGTACATGTACATGGTATGTTAACAGGATACATCCTTGTACATTATCAACTGTTGAGGATTCATTGAAATGAACTGGTAGACTCTTCTTTTGTAGTTTAAACTCATATCTATATTAAGAACATAATAAATAAATAAATAAAATAATTTAATTAAAAACAAAGTAACAACATGTACATATCCTTGGCCTACACTAATCGCTGGCAAGGCCAAAATGACTAAAATTATTATTTTAAAGTTGCTGTATTACAATTCCACACATTATAAGATATAAAGCTACTAGTGGATCATAATGATGTGTGTATACATACACTTACTTGATACACTATTTGTCTTTATTTCTTTCCATTAAAGTCTTTAATAATTGTTTCTCTTCTCTTAGACTCTCTGTAAGCTCTTCAACAGTTTCCTGAGCATTTATAAATAAATAAATAATAATTATTATTATTATAGTATTAACCATGTACTATAGCCCATGGTTTTTTCCAAAAAATGGCTCCAAAATCACCTCAAATTTTTGATACAATTTCTGATATATATTGATGTTCTTATACCGTGTACAAAGTTTGAACTGATTCCGACTTCAATTTTTCAAGTTACGGCCATTTTATAAAAATGCCAAAATTTTAAAAAATACTCAAGGCTATAGCCCATGATTTTTTCCAAAAAATGGCTCCGAAGTTAACCCGAATATTTATTACATTTTCTTATACATATTGATGTCCTTATGCTGTGTAGAAAGTTTAAGCTGATTCCGACTTCAATTTTTCAAGTTACGGCCAATTTTTAAAAACAGCTAATTTTTGAAAAATACCCAAGGCTATAGCCCATAGTTTTTACCAAAAAATGGC